AAGAGACAGAACATATCTCTGCCAACAGGAAGCTCAGATCTAGGGTAGAGAAAGGGTATGTCAAGCCCTAAATATGCAACTTGCAAATGACCTACCGAAGGAGTTTCCTGGATGAGTAGGGAGCTCAATAAATTACTATATATCTTCTATTCTTACCGATTTTATAATCAGAAATAGAGTTTTTCTATAAATTCAACCCAGCATTTATAATTTCAGAGCTGATGAGTAGAGGAAATACCTAATCTACCCCTTTGTGTCACAGGGGAGGTAACAGGGACTCCAAGAGTGTGACTTAGCCAAGGCGCCACAGAGGTTATGGAAGAGCCCAGACAACTTGCTCCAGGCTTGCTGAGTCTCTCTCACTTCTTTTTTTTTTAATCCCTAAAACAGGAATCGCAAGCTCCAACATCTTCAGAAGGCGTAATACAGTGTAAAATGGCAATGTGAGTGTCAGAGATGCCAATAGAGAGTGGTGGGAACCAGGGCAACTGGAGGGGAGCATGTTCAGAATAAATTCTTTGATTCAAAATAAAACAGCAATAATCATGCAACAATCATAGCACAACACTAGGCCAACCAATGAAACATTCGTGTTGTGAGCTGAAGCTGGTCCTTACAGTCACAGGTCCAGATGCTCCCATTTTGGCCACACTCTCTTCCATTCATCACTATGTTTCTACCTTATCTTGAATTTGAGCATAATTTTTTCAAGTCATAGCTAATAATAATCCTCTCCTATGTGTACCCATTTTCTCAGGATTGTTTTTCTCTCAAGTTGAAATATATTTTTAATGTGACCAAAGTGAAAAAGAAAACAAATATGAAGGGTTCATATTCATTTATTTGATTGAATAATGTCAGCTCTAACACAAAATTAATTTCCTATTTATCTAAAATTCACATATTTAAATAGTCAAAAACCTAAACAAAATAATTTTCTATGAAATATTTCTAAAATATATTGACTTCCTTTTCTCCTTAAAAAAAGTATGTTGAATAAAATTTAGCCTTTTCTTGACATTAATAATCAATATCTGGATAGAAATTGATCTGTAATCCAGGAGATGCTGTCTACAGCTATTATACTTTCATATCTTTCATTTACTATTTTCGTAAGTGACATCTCCTACCCACGTTTCCAGAAGTGCAGGATACGATTTTAAAGACAAGAGTAGAACCTCTTCCCATCCCTTTCTGGCTTTTGCAAACCTCTGTTGATTATTTATTCATTCATTCATTCATTCATTCATTCATTCTTTATGGTTGCCTTGATTTATATATATATGGCAACCATATATGGTATAGATAAGATTTTAACTTTGAACTTTTAAATGACTTTCTTTTACAGTCCCCAAATCCAAGGCATAAAGTCCAAATTATCTCTAATTCTTTCCTTCCATTTGAAGTGGACCCTACTCTTCAGGCCTTCTGGTTCAGAATCACTGGGAGTTTTTTTGTTAAAAAGTATGCCACCTCCTGCTCTGGCCAGCATAGTTCAGTTGGTTGGAGCATCATCCTGCAAAACCGAGAGTTCATGGGTTCAATTCCCAGTCAGGACACATGCCCAGGTTTCCGGTTCCATCCCCAATTGGATCACATACAAGAGGGCAGCTGGTCAATATTTCTTTTTTTCTTTCTCTGTCTCTCTTTCTTTCTCCCTTCCTCACTCTCTAAAAAAAGCAATGAAAACAAAAAGTCCTCTGGCAAAAATGAAAACACAAAAGTATGCTACCTCTTATGTACAAAATCTTATAGCTTAAAAATTAGACCTAAAATATGCATTTTAAACAAATACCTTTAGTGATTCTTGTGCACATCAAATTTTGAGATCCACAGCCCTATCTTTTCCTTGTAATTCTGGTTCTCAAATACTGTTGCAAATTATTGTTACGTAGGATGCTTAAAATAAGATGTTATACAATGCCTGAGCCCAAATCCAGGATAAGAATCAGAACCTCTGGGTGGTAAGACCTGGGCATCTGTGCGTACTTCATTTTTTTAAAACAGATTATTTTTAATTTATCTTTTAAAGATTTTACGTATTTATTTTTAGAGAGGGGAAGGGAGGGCGAAGGAGAGGGAAACATTAATGTGTGGTTGCCTCTCGCATGCCCCCTAATGGGGACTTGGCTTGCAACCTAGACATGTGTCCTAGAATGGGAATTGAACCAGCGACCCTTTGGTTCACAGCCTGACACTCAATCCACTGAGCTGCACCAGCCAGGGCCTGTGTGTATTTTATTTATGTTTTACCTTTTATTTTGAGCTAACTGTAGATTTTATACACCATTTGTAAGAAACAGTACACAAAGATCCCATGTACCCTGTACCCAATGTCCCTCATGGTAACATCTCACGTAACTATCGCACCATAACACAATCAGGAAACTGACATGGATCAATCTTACTCAGCATTTTTAAGCTAGGTCTCTTTTTTTTACTCTTCTCTATTTATTCCTTTGCTCATGCTTAGCTCTAACAAAGTTTTTTAAAAACTTTTTTATTTTGAAAACATTTAAAAGTCATTGAAAATTTATAAGAATATATAATACCCAAAACCCCTTCACCTACATTCACCAACTGTTAACATATTGCCCCATTTCTCTCTTTCTTCTCCCCGTTCTCTTCCTCAATATGCAGAGCGCACATTCTTTATTCTGGCCTATCTGTGCATGAACGTAGACATCATGACCCCTCATTCCTGCACATGTCAGCATGCATCTCCTGAGAACAAGAACCTTCTCTTACATAACCATAATATAATTACCAAATTGGGGAAATTTAACATCAATACAATATTTTTATCTAATATGAAGAAGTAATTATTTTTTTCTGAATTTCCCAAAACTATCCTCGAATTCATAGCAATTCTGCTCCCCAGGATCTCACAGAGCATAATCATGCTATTTCTTTACCCTGCTTTAATCTCTGTTTCTCATGCCACTGACTTTTTGAAGACTCCTGGGCAGTTGTCTTGTAGACTTCCCTCAATTTGGGTTTGTCTGGTTGTTTCCTCATTGAATTCCATTTTTGAACAACATTTTTCATCAATATTCCCAGCAATGAGGTCATAGGGGGAAAGACCTGACAGAGGACAGGTCCTCTTGATCATTGTTTAAAACAGTTAAGCAAAACTGATGAAGGGCACCTCTGAACACCTTACTCCCGGGCAGAATATCAATAATATGCACCACAGACTGTGCCCCTGTGGAGAGCTGGGCACTTTCAGAAGAAAAAATAGGTCAGTGCCAGCTTGTTAATCCCAGGGAACGGGGATCATGGGGTCTGGGTTTCCAGTCTGGGCTTCTGTGAGGCATGAGTGAGCAACATCATTTCTCTGCTCTTCAGTGTCTCAAACTATAAAATGAAATTAAAATAAGTAGCACTTAACACACAGGGTTAATGCAGTGATGGATGTTACACACCCAACACAGTGCTCGGCACTTGGTAATTGCTCATTTAATGTGAGCGTTTACTATTACTTTTTTAAAATAGCACCATTATTTCTGCTAGCAATATTTTTTCTGATACATCTCCTCAAGCAAGAGAAACAAAAGAAAAAATAAGCAAATGGAAGTATAGCAAACTAAAAAGTTTTTGTACAGCAGAGAAAAAACCACCAACAAAACAAAAAGACAATCTACTGAATGGATTCACCAATTATACATCTGATAAGTGGTTAATATCCAAAATTTATAAAGAATTCATATAACTCTCAACACCAAAAATAGTCCAATTTTAAAAATGTGCAGAGAACCTGAAGAGACGTATAAAAAGATGTTCAACATCTCTAGTCATCAGAGAGATGCAAATTAAAACCACAAAGAGATATCACCTCACTCCTGTCAGAATGGCCATCATCAATAAATCTACAGAAACAACCAACGGCGAGGATGTGAAGAAAAGGGAACCCTTGTGCACTGTTGGTGGGAATGCAGACTGGTATAGCCATTGTGGTAAATAGTACGAAGGTTCCTCGAAAAATTAAAAATGGAACTGTCTTATAACCCAGCAATTCCACTGCTGGATATATATACCCAAAGAAATTCAAAAAACTAATTTGAAAGAATATACACACCTCCCACATTCGTTGCAGCATTTATTTACAATAGCAAAGATATGGAAGCAACCCAAGTGTCCATCAATAGACGAGTGGATAAAAAAGCTGTGCTACAAATATGCAAAGTGAAATAAGTCAGGCAGAGAAAGGCAAATACCATATGATTTCACCTTATGTGGAATCTAAAGAACAAAATAAATGAACCAAGAAAACTGAAACAGACTCATAGATACAACGAACATTTTGATGGTTGCAAGAGGGGAGGGGATGTTGAGGGAACGAGTGAAAAAAATGAAGGGATTAAGAAGTACAAATTGGTAGTTAAAAAATACTCACAGGGATGTAAAGTATAGCATAGGGAATATAGTCAATAATGCTGCAATAAATATGTATGGTGCCAGGTGGGTACTGGAAATACTGGGGGAACACCTTGTAAAGTGTATGATTATCTAACCGCCATGATGTACATCTAAAACTAATACAAAATAATATTTAATGTGAGCTGCAATTGAAAAATAAAACTTAAAAATCTATATTTTATATCAAAAGCAAAATAAATAAAAATAACGTAATTAAGCCAAATCTCTCCTGTGTTGTTTTATTTTATTTTTAATCCAATCAAATTATTTATTTCTTTTTAATCAATTAATTCCAGCCTTATTGAGATATAATTGACATATAATTATTAACTTTTTTCACCACTTTCCTCTGCCCTACCCTCAATCCTTTCCCCCTTTGGCATTGTCCATGGTCTCCTGCATTGTTTTAAATCTCCTGGTGGATCGGCCAGAGGTTTTTTTGTTAAAGCCAAATCCTGTTAACTGTAGTTTTGCCAAGGATAAACAAAAAATCTCTTGTGGGGTCCATCCTATGACCCAGCTGCTTGGCTGTGGAAAAGACCCTGGCACTCCATGGTTATAATGCAGAAAAGCAGTCTTACCGTTACGTCCTGAATAGTTAAGAGAATCCTTGCTTTGTCCATACTGTTTGGAGGGTTGGGATGTCCATGTGCGTTCCGAAGGGAGAAGTTAAAATCACAGGGTGTGGTGCTGGTGGGAGATTTGGAATCCTAGGGGTAAGCAAAGAGACCTGGATATAGTAAAAGCAACTTATGTCCCTAAAGACATGCTGGGCCTCCATGCCTCCCATCTCTGTCCTCAGTAAGTTGTCCTCTGCTCCCGCTCCCACAGCTGATCTGATAGACTCATCGTTGCTTAACCAGTACCACTGCAGGAACACAGCTAGGAAGTAGACCAGGATTCAAACGTGGGCCACCAACTCCCAAAACAGTGCCCTGAGCTAAGTGAGGACCAGTGAGGAAAGATGGCCACACATGTTGAGCAAAAAATGTGGGATTATCAAATAGTATGAATGGTACGATCCCATTTATGTGAAAATAACAATAAAAAGTTAAAGAAAAAAAGGCACCCCCCTCAAAGGTTATTTATAAGACAATCTGAAACAGAAGTACCCAAGCAATGGAATTGCCCTAAAAATGATCCCACAGTTTTTTAAGTCTCACCATTGAAATTAATGAATACTGAAGGATTCACTGAGAAGCTCTGCTGGGGACAAGATAGGCAGGCTGCTTCACAGGGATGCTTGGCCAATGAAGGCACAACTGCCTAAATCCGCCTGGTACCAACAGGTGGGTAAGCCATCATGGGCCACAGCAGTGCCCATGTGGCAGACCTGCTGGTGACACATGAGTTGTGACAGGTCTTTAAGTTGTTCATATGTATCAGCTAACTTTAAAACATGAAGTTGTAATTGTGGACAATGGAGAAACCCCCATTTCAGAAGAGGCATTCCAGAAGACGTCAGGGTGGTCAAGTCTTCCTATCACCTGTCACACTCTCAGGGACTGACAAGATGGCTAATCTTGGGAAATACCACTCACTCCTTGGGAATGGGCCAGGACCAGAACACTCTGGATAACAATCTCCTCTTGCATATAATGATATGTGCAGTTTTTAGTCTGGATGATTGCATACCTACCTATTCATAGTAATGATCTCTGAGGCAGTGAGATTATGAAAGGGCTTTTATTTTCTCTGTATCATTTGAATTTTTTATATTGATCATGCATTATCAGGGGGAAAAGACATCTCAATAATATTAGGAAAATAATGTACATTTTGTTTATTCCTGATACTTAAGTGGAGCCAATATCATTTAAATGGAGCCTTATCATCCACTGCAACACCCAGCCCGAGGAAAGCCAACACGACTAAGTCCTGGCACTTGGGTGAAGCTCTCTGGAAAGAGGTGCTCTCCTTTCACTGGAGTTGCTAAACTGAAAAACAAACAAACCCATGATAGCTTTCCCTCTGACTCAAAGTAGAATCCCTCATCTTTACCACAGCTCTCAAAGCCCTGTGTGGTCTGGGCCTTGGCTACTCCTCCGGCCTTGCCTCCTCTTCCTCGCCCTCTCGACCACTCAGCTCCTGCCACACTGGCATCTGCCTCAGGGCCTCCACACCTGCTGCCCCCTGCTCGTGGAGTGCCCTTCTCCAAACGGCTCACCCCCTGGCTTCCTTGAGGCCTCTGCTCACATATGACCTCATCAAGGCCCCTGCCTTCCCACCTCAAGTGGCAGTCCCTGCCCAGCTTTCTCCGGCCCCTTCCTCCACTTTGTTTCTCTGACCTGCCCTGTCACCTCCTGGTATAGTATGTACCCATCTACTGTCTGTTTTATCTTCAGTGTGAAGAACAGTGCCTGGGACCTGGGGTGAGGACTGCAGACACTGGAACACACATATGCCTAAGGGGATGGCTGTTCCTCAACTCAGTCATTGCTGTCGCATAAGAATGTGGTTCCCAAATCTTATTTTTCAAGAGAAGCCCCCACTTCAGACTTTGACATAAAATTTCCTGATTCTAGTAATTCACATCTCTTGAAAGTACTTTGCAAGGGTGGCGGCCGACAGAACATGTCTGCAGCACGCCAGTCTTGTGAACTCAGAGCCGCCAAGAAATTGAAGTTCACTAAGGATTTGATTGAAGGTGAAAGGCTGGTGTGTTTCAACAGCAAAGGTCAGATGAAAAATATACACACAAACATGCACCTCCTTTTGCTCCATTTCAGGCTGCACTCGCAAACAATGTGAGGTGGCTGAGAATATTTAGCCACGCACTTTTTTCCTCTCCCTGTTCAGATTGCATCTCTTACGGCTCCTGCCTTTGCTGAAAACTGGTGCTGCCATTTTACTCTCACTTAGCAGAAAAATAACTCCATAGGGAAACTGACTATGAAGGCTTATGGAGTGCCCCCTCAAGAAGAAGAGAAAAAGAAAGAAATACAATCAAGCACACACAGTGGAGAAAATTCAGTGCTGGCGGAGCAGGGCACTGACGATTCCAGGCACGCGCACACAGGAATGCTAATGGGGCTTAATAGCTTGTGAGGGACAGCCTGTCGTGTTTCAGGGAGCTTGGGAGCTTGCAAAGGAGGAGTACATGTTCATGTAACAGGAGATACCAAATGGTGAAAGGAGGAGAAAAAACTACCATGCCTTTTGCTTCAAGGGCATGTACGCATTCTGTGACATGAGCTTGGGCTTGGACTGTAACAGACAGAACTTGGCTACAAACCAGCCTCCAGATGAAAAGAAACCAATGGCCGTTTGCACAGACTGATCCTGGGCACAGGATTGTGTGAATTATTCAAAAGCAAGGGAGTGAGTGTTTGTGTTGCGTGTCGTGTGTGTTATATGGGAGGTAGGTGTTAAAGGCAATAAAGTCCACAATTTTGCTTCTGTAAAATCCCACTCCTATGGATGGGGAAGGGAAACAAGGTAATTGCTTCATTCTATAGAAAAGGACTCTTTTTTTCCCCCCAGGAAGGAAGGAATAAATAACAGCAGGTATCCTGACAGCTGCTGTAGCACTGAGCTGAAGCCACTCCTACCTGCGGATGACCCCCAGAAGCATCCTTTGCATTGACAGTCACGTTCTCCCATGGCTCAAAATCTTCAGAATAGTCCAGAGGAGGTTCAATGTGGAGCCGTGAGCCAGCTTCTGTTCTGATCTGCACAGATTTCTATACACAGAAATTCAGACAATTTCAGATATGGTAGAACAAACATCTTGATCCCTCTGGGGGCGAGCACGTTCGGGGCTGGCTGCGAGGTGTGTGTCTGTGCACGGCTGCAGCCATGCCGTCCTCGCGCTGGCCAGCGTCATCTGGCGCAGGCCAGCCCAGATGGCTCACGCCACCTCTGCTCAAGAGTCTTTCCCAGTTCCTACTGCCCAAAGTGGGTTCAGTAGAATTTTTTAGTAAATTTTTGGCTTGAGATAGCTTACCCATAGAATTTTGGCAGATGTTAAACTTCTCAAACAGCTTCGTGATAAAATGTTTGGGAAGCACTGGGGAATTTTCTTCAAGACTTCTCAGGGCCTTTTATATGCTCCCTCCCCCACCTTCCACACATACCTGTGGATATCCTAAATCAAAACGCAGCATTGGACATTCCTCACACTTTCTGGGCCATGGAAAGCGTGTGGGCGGGGCCTCTCTTCCTCCTAGAACGCCCTGCATCATCCCTTGGGAAACCCACTCCTTGGCCTGGTGCAGCAGACTGCAGGCTGCCCCCGCCCCGGTGTCCAATTCCCCTTTCTCTCTTGCACTAGGAGAACCCCGTGAACACAGTCTGGCCATTAAGGTGTGTGTGTTGCAGCAGGGTGGGTTATGTGTATCTTTGAGGTTGCGCCCCTAAAGAGAAGGAGACAGCGGCCCCATGCCCAGACGGAACGTAGAGGTGGTGGTGAGCTGCCGAGGACTGAGAGAGAAAGCAACACGGGGAGGACAGTGGAGCAACAGAAGCGTTAGTGCCTGGTTTCCTCCATGACCTCTTGGAGCAGGATGACTGCCCGCTACTGAACTGTCCTGTCAGAAAGACATTAACTTTCATGTTGTTCAGGCCCCTGCTATTTGGGCCTCCCTGTTTTAGCAGCCACACCTGTACCCTAAGCAGTGCACCTGGCATGCCAAGGTCTCTACAATCTGGCCCCATCTCTCTTTCCTGTGTTGATTCCTGCACATATAGTCATAGCCCTGAACTGCTTTCTGTATCCCAAGTGCATGCAGTTTTTCAGTCCAGCATCCACTCCCTGACCTTCCGGGAGCATCTCCGTCGTTTCCCTTTGAGGTCCATTCCCCTCTCTCCCTAGTCCCCGTGAAGCCCAAGGGCAGAAGTGTGAGCAGGGCCTGGTCAGCCAGCCCATTCTGCCCCCCACCACATGCCCTGGCCAGGGTTCAGGAATGGGAATGCGCTTAAGGTAGCCAATGAGTAGCCCTAGGATTCCTGCTCGAGCTGTGGGGAGGAGGAGCTCCCTTTCCACAGGAGTGCTAAGCTAAAAGGAGGCGGGTACACCAGGAGCCGCTGGAGACCCTCCTGGCCCTAATGCAGACAGAGAGCCGATAGACTGAAGCAGAATCCTGATGGCTCTGTGTAGACCTCTGGATCCAGCCATAACTGAAGCCAGACACTGCTGAAACTTTTTCTTTTTCGCCAAGCCAACGTGAATAGGATTTATGTTATTTGTGATGGAATCCTGACCCTTTCCTGTGCCCTAAACTCTCCTTTGCTCATGTCGGTGTCCCAGCCTTAATGCCATTCTCCCAAATCTTCTCCCTGTGTCCAATCCCACCTAAGCTGTGGAGGCACTCTGACTACCTGGTAACTATCCATTGCTCTCTCCATCCTTACTAACAAAACCCTGATTCTGTTGAGGCAGCCATGTGCCCCTTTAAGATGACCACGTGCGAGAAGCCCTTGCAGCTCAGGACGGCCATGTGAGCCAGATGTGAGTGGCTGGAAGTCTGGATGCAGATGGAGCTGTTGAGAAAGCCACTGTTTTCCTGCTACCCAGGTCTCACTCAGTGCCACAGGACTTTGCCCTTTATCCTTCCACCCATCTTCCTAATGGAATGTGGATGGGATATTTGGTTGCAGAGCGGCCATCTCATGGGAATAAGGAACAAAGCCACACTCTAAGGATGGCCCCATGGAAAAATAGGAGTTTGAGTCCCTGGCTGCCTCCAAACGCCTTGTTCATGTGAGAGAAATACAACCGTCTTCAAGCCCCACTGACCAATGTCCATGATGTACATTGGTCTAGCTGAGGCCTAGTTGCTAATGCCCCTTTAGGCGCTTGTCATTTTTTCTGTGGTTATACTAGAGTTGTCCATGTGCGGTGAAGGGCCTGGGTTCTAAACTCAGGCAGACCAGGGTGACTCCTGGAACTCTGACGCTCATTCCCTCGGCAACCCTGGGCAAGTCCCGCTGAGTCCCAGAGCACCGCTTTCCACAGCTACTAAACTGGCACTAATGACGCCTTCATCAGAACTGCTTTGAGGACGACTTGCTCCCCCTCCCCGCAAGTGCATTTTCGCCCCCTGTGGAATGAAGAAACAAGCCACCTGTGTCATTTGGTAGTCAAGCAAATACACTGCCACCCATTCCAATGCTGGAGTCGGGGTGGGCTGCTTAGACTTAGAAGGGCAGGGCCAAGTCCCAGCAAGGCACCCAGGAAGCAACGGTTAAGGGGGTGCTCCCTCTCAGTGCACAAATCCAAGAGGGAGGGTCTCCTTAAATGTCGCACCCTGGGCCTCACCCTAGTGTGGTCCTGGTACTGAGCAAAGGAAGAGGTCCACCAAGCCATGTCCTGAACCTATTACCAAGGGGAGGGATGGTGATCTAGACCATGCATTTCCCCTCATCCCCTGACAGCATTAGAACCATTCACACAGTAAGATCCAGCTTCCCCACAAGCTTAATGAACTTAGCCTTCAGCTCGACGAAGCAGAACATGAGGCCAGAGCCTTGGTGTCCTGTGGGACAGTCAGCAGTTCGGACGGAACTCGTTTCTTATCCGTGTCCACGCTGTCCCCACCCCCAACAGCACTCTCACACCAGGTGCCACTTCACTTAATCTGATCACCACTCTAAGTGCTTTGGGTGCATTTATTTGCCCTTTTAGTTCTCACAGTGATCCCAGGGAAACCAAAGCCCAAGTCTTTAAGCCACTTGCCTAAGGTCACACAGCTAGGGGACCGCAGAGGCTAGATTTGAACCTCAGCAGTACAGCTCCAGAGACCAATGCTGAGCCAATGTTTCCTTTAAAAAGTAAATATTTTGGGCTTTGCCAGCCATATGGTCTCTGTCACAATATTCAACTGTCCCATTATAACTTGAAAGCAGCCCTGGATAATGCCTAAACAAATGGGCATGGCTGCGAACCATCAGTGAGGGACGGAAAACGGGACACATGGATAATGCTTAAACAATAAAAAACACTATTTGCAAAAACAGGCTGTGGCCAGATTTGGCTGAAGAGCTGGTGTTTGCTGACCAACCCCAGTTCTAAATCACACACTACACACCAGGCTTTCCTTATCCACAGGGGATAAATTCCAAGACCCCAGTGGATGCTGGAAACTGCACATAGTACTGAACCCTATGTGTACTATGTTTTTTTCTATACTTGCATACCTATGATAAAGTTTAATTTATAAATTAGGCACAGTAAGAGCTTAACAACAATAATAAATGATAAAATAGAACTATAACAGTATATTATAATAAAGGTTATGTGAATGTGGCATTATTGAGTAATATAAGGGTCACTTGAACAAAAGCACTGCGATACCTCAACATTGAATCCGACAACCAAGATGGCTACTAAGGGCCTGACAGACAGGTAGCGCATACAGCACAGAGATGCTGGACAACAGGGTGATTCATGTCCAGGGTAGGGCGGTGCTGGACAGTGTGAGATGTCATCATGGTGCTCAGAACAGTGCGATATCTAAAATAGATGAATTGTTTATTTCTGGTATTTTACACTTAACTATTTTCAGACCACAGTTGATCACGCAGGCACCCGAAGAATAAATGTGCCCACCCTGTGCTACAACAGAGGCCTTTGGGGAGAACAGAGGAAAATTGAAGAATTTTCTGAGAATATCTAACACTCAAAAAAGGAAACAGGGACTGAGCTATAGATCACTGAAGGAAAAAATCTGAGCAAGAGTACAAAGGCCTGAAAAAGGCAGGTAGGGAGCCACCCTGTCAGAGAACAGGGAGGTGGAAAAAGCACAGAAGGAAGTTGCCATAGGACATTTTCCTCCTCCAAGAGATCCTGTCACTTGGCAATGCGCCCCGCTATTTCTGGAACCACACGTTCCACTCCACCTTCCTCATGACCATCAGCCTCGCTGCCTTGGGCTCAGGTTCCAAGTGTGGCCTCACTGCCTCCCAGGCTTTGTCACTGCGCTCTCAGCGCATTTCTCAGTGTCAGCAGCGGGGCCCATGGAAGGTAAGCACTGCCCGGGGCACATAAAACCTGGGGCTCCCAGACCAGGAGACTCCTGAAGGCCTTCCTGCCTCGGGCCAAGATGAAGCTATAAAAGCTTTGAATTTCATCACAGAGATGGATTTTCCATCACACCTTCAAGGAGAGTGTGCCCCACCCTCCTTCCCAGGAACCACTCAATAGCTGCCCAAATGCTGAAACCAGTACAAGAGACAAGGTGGGGGAATGGCGCAGAGGGAGCCTAACTGGGCAAGGGGCCCAGGCCTGGGACACAGCCAGGCCCCTCCATGGGTTGCTGTTCCTCTGCCTAAACAGGGAGGGTTTTAACCAGGGCCTTACTACTCCATGTGCCATCTATGGAGCAGCAGAACTGGCTTCCCCTGGAGGATTTGTGAGAAATGCAGAAGTTCAAGCTCCGTCTCAGAGCTGGGAACCAGAATCTGCATTTTAACAGGACCCCAGGTGATTTTTATGCACATTAAGTTTAAGTAGCATGCCATCTAGAGAGTTTTGTGGTGTGTGCTATTGTTTCTGTCTATCCAGCATGTATTCCCCTACCTTCTGACAAAAGCACCCTGCCCTGACTGGTGTGGCTCAGTTGGTTGGAGCATCATCCCATAAACTGAAAGGTCACAGGTTTGATACCCAGTCAGGGCACATGGCTAGGTTGTAGGTTTGGCCTCTGGTTTGGGCACATATGGGGAACAACTGATCAATACTTCT